TTTTTTGGTGAAATACGATTACTTCTTTTTTTTGCAAGGTCGTTCACATTTTCGATTAAATGCAACTTGTTTGTGATCTCCAATGTGAACTTTAAACGCCTCAAAAGTGTTCCTTATGCGCATTTGAGGACACAACGACGTCACACTCAGCGAACGTGCTCAGTGTTTACGGAAGTCGCCTAAACTCTGGGCTTGTCTCCCGAAATTGGAAATACCAGTGCTGAAATTATCCAAATGATTTTAATGACGATCTTGTAAGGAGTTCGCTTTAGAACTTTAAACGCCCCAAAAGTGTCCCGCATGCACATTGGAGGACACAACGACGTCACATGCAGCAAAGTCGCCTAAACGCTGGACTTGTCTCCCGAAATACGGTCCACTTCTTCGTAAAATGGACAGGTTACACGTCCACGGCCGCTTCGTTTGTTTGAGTCTTTAACTTCATCGTAATTGTCTCGCAGGATCTTTATTTTTCATTGACATTGGAGCCAGGACCGTCTGTAGCCTCGCTCGGACATTTCTTTGGCAATCATTTCAAAAAACGCCCAGTTCTGATAAGATTCATCAAATTTGTCCTTAATACAGCGATCCCCCCAAATATTAATAAACTCATTAACCTCGCTTTCCCTCCATTGACAAGACTCTGAGTCTGACGTGTAGGTGGGATGAATGTGACCTGACCGTTCAGACTGAATTCACATGTCAGAAGATCGGATATGTATCGGTTTTAAGAGCACATATCCAAGTGTCCTGGGTCGCATTTGAAAAAAATCTGATCTGTGTCGAGTTCAGTCATTAAAAGATCAGATACAGGAGCATAGGGGCGAAAAAATAATCAGATTTGCGTCACTTAAGGCCACAGTTTTGAATGTTTTCTGTTTGAGAACGAGCTCTAAATCTGCAGGGTTTGAGCGTTAAACATGCGTGAATGAAACAAAACACAACTCCAGGTTTGTTTGCGGTGAAGAAACAACATTAGAACGTAGAAAAATCGATCGGAACCCTTTAAAACGTTCGAGAAATGTTGCAAATTCCTTGAAAGTTAGTTCGATAACCTTGCTTCAAATCGTTAATCCTAATTAAGTAAAAAGAACTCGACAAAACTCATTTTCGCAGTGGAGAAACTCGCCGCACTCTCCTGCCGTCCTTGCGTTCTATTTATTTTACATTCGCCATTGTCAAACCGCGTCCCTTTCCTCTTTTTTTTAAACGTCATTAGTTCAAATATTCATGCGAGATTAATCCGCCTATAGGTGCCGGTGATTGACGCCTCCCCAAAAACGTGCGGACATACGGGGGCGAGCCGGGGTCCTTGCGTGGCGCGTGGAGGACTTTCTCAGATACATTATTTAGATGCCCTCGAGCAAGGCTTTCAAGGCATTCTGGGCCCGGGGCGAGAAGAAAAACCACGACGGCGAAACCCAGATCATTTTTTGCTAATGCACAATTAATGCCAAGAATGGAAACTTTCGATTTGAAGGAAGAAATGTGAATGGAGGACGTCGGACGCGATGGTTTTTTTTTTTTTTCGGAGCTTGGTGCGAAACTTACGAGGCGTTAAAGGTCTACATTACGCAATTTTGTCGTCGAGCAGAGTCAGTTTTGCGTAATAACAATTTTTTTCATGAATTGCACAACCAAATTCCACTTTCAACTTGTCGAAATGAGCGAAAAATTTAAAAGCTTTTTTACAAATTGCATCAAATGTCGTAATGTCAGGCGTCTAAATGTGATTGTGTTAATGACATGACTCCAAGTTTGTACTTGAAGAATCCTTGTCCATTTTGTCGTTTTTTGTTCCAGTTTTCTTCTTCCCTCTCTCCGTCATTTCCTCTACAAGTTGCTGTTCTTCTTTTCTCTCTTTCTCTGCTCACTTCTAACCCTTTTCTCTCGAGCTCTTTCCTCTTTTCCTTCCTTCCTCTTTTCTTCCTTCTCATCTACTACTTCCTTACGTCTTACTTCTCCCCCCTCACTTTTCTCCTCTCTTTATTCCTCCTCCCTTCCCTCTCTCATCCTGTCTCCTCTTTTTCTCCACCCTCTCTTCCCTTCTCCTCCTTCTTCACCTCCACTTTCTCTCCAATTCCTCCTCCGCCCCTCGCTCTCTCCTCCTCCTCCTCCCTCTGTTCTTTTCTCTCTCTTCTTTCTCACCTTCCTCTTCCCTCTTTCTCTCATCCCGTCTCCTGTTTTCTCTTTCCTCCCCTCCCTCTCTTTCTCTTCCTCACTCTCTTCCCTCCTCCTCCCTTCTCCCTCTCCTCTCCCTCCTCCTCCCCTCCCTCTGTTCTTTTCTCTCTCTTCTCACCTTCCTCTTCCCTCTTTCTTCTCCTCTTACTCAGTCTTCTCTCCTTCTCCCTCCTCCCCTCCCTTTCTCACTCTATCATCTCTTTTTCCCTCCTCCCTCTCTTATTCTGTCGTCTCTTTCTCTCTCCTCCCTCCCTCTCTCATCCTGTCTCCTCTTTTTCTCCTCTCTCTCTTCCCTCCTCCTACCCTCCCTCTCTTTTTCTCTCTTCTCACCTTCGTCTTCCCTCTTTCCCTCATTCTGTCTCCTCTCTTTCTCCTCCCTCTCTTCTTTTCATCTCCCTCTTCCCTCTTTCTCTCACACTCCTCCCCTCCCTCTCTCCTTCTGCCTCCTCTCTTTCTCTCTCCTCCCTCCCTCTCTCATCCTGTCTCCTCTTTTTCTCTTCCCTCTCCCTCCCCTCGCTCTCTTCACTCCTTCACTCCTGCCTTTTCGCTTTCTTTTCTTCTCCTCCACACCCTCTGTTCTTTTCCTCCCTCTCTTCACCTTCCTCTTCCCTCTTTTCCTCTCCTCCCTCTCTCCTCCCTCTCTCCTCCGCCTGACTGTGCGGCGCAATGAGAACCCCAGTGTTTCCGCGTCCAAGCATAACATTGGAGTCATTAACCCTGATTCCCCTCTTCCGTGCTCTGGGGTATAGAACAAACCGACCGGGCCCTCCGCCGCACAAGGGCCCCTACCCGCCCCCGAACCCCCCATCCCCCCCTCTCGCCCTCCGCCAAGGCGCCCACCAACCCCTCGCAATGGACCCCTCGCTCTGTTTACCGCGGACACCACTCTTCTTCTCTCAGGTGGAGTTTGCCGTCTGTTGACCCGGTTTATGGTTCATATCTTCGGAATTACCGGGACGATCCACGTGAAACGGAGACGGACGCAAAGTCCAAAGTCGGCTCTGTCAGTAGAAGTAAACAAAAGCGAAAGTGAAAGTGCAAGCGGTGCCTTTATTCACATCTAAGGCTACGTTCACACTGCAGGGCTCAATGCTTTAATTTTTTGTGTGAAATCCGTTCACATTTTCAATTAAACGCGACTTGTTTGTGATCTTCAAAAGTGTCCCGCACATGCACTGAAGTCGCCTAAACATCGACATGAGCATTGAGCACCTGGAGATTTTAAAGTCGCTGTCGAACTAGAGTGAGAACATGTACAGGTTTTTTTGTTTTAAGAAGATTGAAAAGGAAAAGGACGAAGTTTTTGGCCGTGGGGTTTTGTGGGGAAGTGGCAGCAACGTCTTGTGTGGAACGTGTGGATATGTGCTTCGTTGCTTCGCTCACACGAAGTTCTTAAACAATTTTCGTTTGACGAGAAGAACGTTTGTGTACATTTGCGACCTGTAGGTGGGATGAATGTGACCTGGCCGTTCAGACTGAAGTCGCATGTCAAAAGATCGAATATGTATCGGTTTTAGGAGGACATATCCAAGTGGCCCGGATCTGTGTCACATAGGGGTGAAAAAATCGGATTTGGGTCACTTCAGGCTGCAGTATGAGCGTAGAAAAAAGTGTGATTATTGACGGACAGATGAACTATGACCGAAGCTGAGGTACTGAACTTTTTGTGGATCGTCAAATCAGAAGTTTGTGACAAAAATCAAACCACTGCGTGCTGTCTGGATCTAATTATAGGAAGAAAAAAAAAAAGTACATATCATTTACAAACTTGTGAGACAGAGCTATGTGAGTCACTATTTGACACTTTGGGGTGAGGGTGATCTTAAATACACACTTCGACTTCCTCCTTAAAAATCAGGGAGTCCATCTTTGTTGGAGTTGGTCTTTGTATGGAAAATAGTTAGCATGATAGCAAAACATGTCTATTTTGTAACATTTCTGTTTTCATTTTCATAACATCTAAAGTAGTAGTAGTTATAGTCGTCATAGTCGTAGTCATAGTAGCAGAAGTAGTCATAGTAGTAGTCATAGTCACAGTAGTAGAAGTAGTAGTCGTGGTAGTAGTAGTTATTGTAGTAGTAGTAGTAGTAGTGGTGGTGGTGGTGGTAGTAGTAGTAGTCGTAGTAGTAGTTGTGGTAGTATTCCTAGTCATAGTCGTTGTAGTAGTAGTAGTTGTCGTCGTAGACGTAGTAGTTGTCGTAGTAGTTGTTGTAGTAGTCGAAGTCATAGTCATTGTAGTAGTAGTAGTTGTCGTAGTAGTCAAAGTTGTAGTAGTTGTTGTAGTAGCCGTTATAGTCATAATCGTAGTCGTAGTAGTAGTTGTCATAGTAGTAGTAGTAGTTGTTGTAGTAGTAGTAGTTTTCGTAGTAGTAGTTGTCGTAGTTTGAAGCACTACAAAACAAAACAAAACAAAACATAGACGGAAAGAGTTTAGGCTGAAGTAAAAAGTACCTATAACACCAAAACATTTTTAAACAATGCCAGAATTCCAAGAAAGAAAGGCATCGTATGAACAGCAAGTTTGAGTTTACAATTTCCCTTAAGACTTACTGTTTAAAATAGTTTCGTAGTAGCCCGAGTGATTGGCTTAAACCTCCCATTTTTTGCAACAACATCCATCTTAGACTCTTCAAATCTTTAGCTCCACCTCACCACACCTCCACCGTGTCTGTCCTCTCCATCCATCCTTCCATCCACCACACCTCACGAGCCTCACGTTTCTGCCTGGGTCACTCTCCTTTCCTACCTTGCACTATCTCAAATCTGACCGGTGTGGAGAATCCGGGGATGTATTTAACGCCGCTTTGGTTTCCGTCCAGGAGATGGTCTAGACAACAGCGTAGCCTCGCCGGGCACAGGGGACGACGACGACCCCGACAAAGACAAGAAGAGGCAGAAAAAGCGAGGGATTTTCCCCAAAGTGGCAACCAACATCATGCGGGCGTGGTTATTCCAGCATCTCACGGTAAGAGCTGATAAAACGGACGATAAAATTATGAAAGTGTGAAAAGTGTGAGTGGAGTTTTGTGGTATCCGTGGGTTTCAGTTTCCAAATATTTGCAGCACATCAAGGACTTTTTTACATTCAAAAGTTGTTGTAAAGGTGCATTTTGTAACTTTTCTGATGCCGTATTTCATTACACAACCTTTCTATCGTCATGGAGACCAAACCAGACCAAGTTACGGGTCAGTTCCAATCACAACGCCTGATTTTCTACATATTTTTGAGCTATAAAACCACCTGTAATTGAATAAAAGTAATAAAAAACAAGCAGGTGACGAACCCTCCACCAGAAAAGTTACACAATGCACTTTAAATTGTCAGTCACTATGGCGACCGCGCAAATTTTGCATCGTTTTGAAACCCACGGACTGAGTTTGGATGCGCCCCGAGTGAAGGTGTCTAGAAGAAGTTGCCACGCTGTTGGTTAATGGTTGTTAATAAAGGTGCACTGTGTAACTTTTCTAATGATGTGTAGGCCTCCTGTTGTGTCCATGGAGATTGTATGGCTTTGCCGGAATGTTCCGCAGTATGGCATTAAACTGTAAGACTAAGAATGATTCAAGCATAGAAATAAACATGTATTCAGTTACATGTTTTTTTTGTTTGTTTGTTTTTTATTAAATTGTTTTCTTGTTTAATGCTATACTGTGGGACATTCCGTGTAAACCAATTACATCACCATGACGACAATAAGGTAGCTCAGAAAAGTTACACAGTGCGTCTTTAAATATGGTGATTAGCTGGGTTCATATTGGCACACAACACATTCAAATTGGCACCCAACTGAGACTAAACCAGGACTAGACCAAGACTAGACCTGGTCCAAACCAAGTCTACATGAGGACTAACTAAACTGGGAACAAACCAGAACCAAACCAGGACTAGTGTGAACACAGACTTGGTTCTATCGGGATCTGGATCTCTTCTGGTGTTACTCAAAAGTCTGATTTAGTCCTGGTTTAGTCCTTGAATTGTCCTGGTCTAGTCTTTTTTAGAAATGAAAACGTGCTCTACATTTTACAAACAATATTTTTCTTTAATTAATTGCGATTTACGTAATTAATCAGTTGGAATATAAATTTTTAATAGCTGTTTTCAAATATTTAAAATTCCATTGTATTGGGAATAATTTGTAGCTTTGGAATGAAAAATACAACGCTTTTTTTTTTAGTTCTCTTGCCATAAATTTTGAGCACCTAATCATTTCTTAAACCTCGCACTAGAAACTTATTTTTACACTTGGGAAAAACAGAAATCCAAAATTCTCTGCGGATTTAAAAGCACTTCTTTTACACACACACACACCTGTCAGAAAGTTGTCAGGAGATAGAGGACTCACCTGTCCGGTACCTGTCACATGGACACTGTGACCCGGTCAAGCTAATCAGGCTGGACTTGTTTGCTCCGGTCAGCACTCTGAGTAAGACGCAATCGCCCAAACACAAACTGACACCCACTACAGCGAGAGAGGCACCCGTCTCGCCCGCCCAGACCAGGGTGCCGTCGAATGAATGGGGTCGATGTAAAGTAATTAGCGCGATATGGATGTGGTTTATTTTTGGACGTGTTGTCTGAGCACTTTGTTGTCTGAAACGCGGCTCTATTTAAAGTGCAGCTATCCTGACTCAACCTTTATTTGCTTTGCTCTGTGTCGGTGTTTCTCAAACTGTGTGTTGCAGTCGATGAGTATTTGTTTAATTAACGGGCAAATCGGATCATCTTTTTGGCGTTTTTTGGCGTTAATTATCGTTCAGAGCGACCTTGTGTTTAGATCTGGTGGTAATTGGTATAAAAAGTTAAGTTGAAAGGTGTAACTTTTTGGTTGAGGGTCTGTCACCTGCTTGTTTCGATGAATATATCATTGCTCTGTCTGGAATGTTCCATAGTATGGCATTAAAAATCCATGTATCATTCATTCATTTGTTTTTCAATGTAAAACCAAAAATAAGAAACAAAAAACAAAAAAAAACGATATTCTTCATTTTTTGTCTCTGAAATCAAAATGAAAAAAAGGATAACGATAATTTTTTTCAGTTTCCGTGATTTAAACTGCGAAGCCGGACTGAACTAGGATTGAATCAGGACTAAAACAGGTCTAAACCAGGACTAAACCGTTTTTATTCCTGGTCTAGTCCCGGTCTCAGTCCTGGTCCCGGTCTTAGCCCCAGTCTCAGTCCCGGTCTCAGTCCCAGTCAGGTTCTGGTCTGGTCCCGGACCTGGTTTAGTCCTGGTTCAGTCCGGCTTCGCAGCTTAGATCACAGAAACGGGAAACGGCCGTTAGCAGTTTTTTCCATTATTCATTTAAACACAAAATCGAAAACTGAAAAAACAAATTGTTATCCGTTTTTTCATTTTGGTTTTGGAGACAAATAAAGAAAGTAGTTGTTTTGTCATTTTCTTATTTTTGGTTTTAAATAGAAAAACGAATGAATGAATGATACATGGATTATTAAACAGCTCTACTTTACACAAGGTTTTAAAGGTCAAAAATACCTAAAAAAAACTGGTATTTTCCGGTCGCCTCGCCGCAGATCTGACCTGTAACTTGGTCCGGTTTGGTCTCCATGAAGATAGAAAGGTTTAAAGCCACACTGTGAAACATTCCATTCCAGACAAAGCAATAACATCTACTTGAAGAAAAGCATTTGACGGACCCTCCACCAGAAACGTTACAGAATGAACTTTTACTCAGCAAAAAACAAAATCTAGCCAAGTTAAGATGACTTGAATTAAGAAAGATTTGTCATGATTTGAGTAAATTTCACTTGACAAGTAAAATTATCTGCGAGTGAAACAGGACTTTTTGTACTTAAGAAAATAAGAAAATAAAAAAGAAACAAAATCGAATGTTGCTTGAATTAAGAAAAACACACTTATTCCACTGGGCGATAATTTTACTTGTCAAGTTGAATCGACTCAAATAAAGTCAAATGTTCTTAATTTTAGTCATTTTAATTGACCTAGATATTGTTTTTTTCCAGTTTAAGAGCCACTGTTTTTGTAATTTTGTGGTTGATCTTATAAAATCTATCTTAACTACATCAGCAAGAAGTGCATGGTGTGTTTTTTAAGGAGCATTTAAGCAAATTTTAATGAAGATTTAATAAAGTTGGTCATCATTTATTCACAGATTTCAGGTTAGCTGGTCTTGCAAACTGTCATTTTAGTCCCGAATCGTCGCCATCTCTTCGTGCTCGGTGTTCGCGTCGGAGAATGAAAAGGAAAAGCTTGCCTTGTCCCCCGCCCCGGCTAATGTTAGGACATGATCACTACATCGTGCTGTATTGATTTTGCTGCGGAGGTCAGATTTCAGGAGGACACAAGAGCCGCTCCGTGTCCCAGGGACCCGGGGACAATGTACCGAGGGGGAAGGGACGTGTATGCGACAGTGAAAGAAAATAGGCAACCCGGACGTGCAGGGCTGAGTGGGTTTGCTGCTTGATTACTAGAACTTCGTCGCATTTTGAGTACGTTAAGATTTTGTCTACGAAGGTTTTCCTAAAGCCTCCAGTGAACAAAACGTAGACAAATACTAGTGATAGGACTTGAGGCTCTTTTGTGGGATCCGAATCTTTTGGAGTTTCAATGCTCTGAGTCAAAAGTCACTCCCCTTTCAGAGCACGATCACATTCCTTTTGACATACCGTGTTTTTTGGACTATAAGGTCAATAATGTTGAATTTTCTTGTCTATTTTCGTACATAAATTGCGCCGGATTATAAGGCGCATTAAGCGAAACAAATGGACGACTCTTGAGACTGATCCTTTGGTCCAGGCGTCCACGATCCATCGGCAGATCGTGGCGTAATTCGCCCAATGTTGCCTCCCTGTTTTGGTGAATGTGGATTATGAATGTGAATTTGAGTTTGTTTTTCTATTTCCTACGGGGACAACACAAATATACATTGAGTAATAATGTGTTTAATTCAGCTTTGCGCACATTTGTTTACGTTTTACAGAAACAAAACTTAACTGATGCGGTTCAGCTTCTGTCGGACTAAAGGACACAACCGTAATTCGACAATCCATCAAGCGGTGCGTCTTCGTAGTTTACCAAAGTCGTACTAAACCATTAAAACAGATTTTTGAGCGCCGTGTACCACATAAAATTGGTTCATGGTCTGTAAACACAACCAGAATTAATACATAAGATGCACTGTCGATTTTTGAGAAAATCTAAAGATTTTAAGTGCGCCTTATAGTCCGAAAAATACGGTATGTTTTGTTAAGGTTTGTGAAGTTGTAGTGCACAGTTCTGTATCATGCTTTTGTATATGTTTAGAGAATGATCCTAACAACTAGTATCCTAATGCGCACTTCCTAATCCTTGGACAATGGAACACTTTATAATTAGATGCAGACGGAACTGACTTATTTTGACCTCAAGGGCTCGATACGTTTTGATCAAATACATGCTTACTTTAATAAGATTTGGTTCAGTCCCAGTTTAAAATGACCTTGTTTAGACCTGGTTTAGTCCTGGTTTAGACCTTTTTAAGTCTTGGTTTAGATCTGGATTAGACCTTTTTAAGTCTTGGTTTAGATCTGGTTTAATCCTGGTTAAGTGCTATTTTAATCCTGGTTTATTTCTATCTTAGTCCTGGTTTAGTTCTGGTTTAGTCCTGGTTTAGACCTTGTTTATTCCTGATTTAGTCCTGGTTCAGTACTAGTTTAGTCCTGGTTTAGACCTTCTTTAGTCCTGGTATAGTTCTAGTTTAGACCTTCTTTAGTCCTGGTATAGTTCTAGTTTAGACCTTGTTTAGTCCTGGTTTAGTACTACTTTAGTCCTGGTTTAGTTGTAGTTCAGTCCTCGTTTAGTCCTGGTTCAGTGATTGTTTAGTCTTGGTTTAGTCCTGATTTAAACCTTGTCTAGTCCTGGTTTAGACCTTGTATAGTCCTGGTTCAGTGCTACTTAGTCCTGGATTATTCCTGGTTTAGTTCTAGTTCAGGCCTGGTGTAGTC